CTCAGAATCTGACCTTGTTTGGAAATAGGGTCTTTGAAGATGTAATTAAGATGGTGTTATATTGGATTAGGGCAGGCCCTAAATTCAATGACTGGTGTGTCTTTATAAGAAGGCTGTGTAAAGATACAGAGTCACACCCATCCAGAGAAAAATGCCATGTGAAGTCGGGGTCTGAGACTGGAGGGATGCATCTATAAGCCAAGGAATCCCAGGGATTGCAGGCAACTATGAGGAGCTGGAAGAACCACGGAAGGAGTCTTCCCTGGGGCCTTTGGAGGGAGCATGGCCCTGCTGACAGCTTGATTTAGGACTTCTGGCCTCCCAAACTGAGAGAGAATAGATTCTGTTATTTTAAGCCACCCAGTTTGTGACCCTTTGTTGTGGCAGCCTCAGCAAACTCATACACATGCCAAACTGCATTTTACTAATAAAACTGATCTGTGTATTTTATGCACAGACCATCTCTGCACCAGTGCTTGTAATTTGTGAAAACAGACATATGGACCAAGCTGGCCCAAACACGGTTCCTCATCAAGCCTCTTTATTTCTCCCCACAAAATGAGGAGTAACATGTGTGTGCCAGGTAGAACTGGTTGGGGAGCAAACATTTAGAAATTTCTGGATCTGTTTCCTTTTTTTCTTTCTAATTTCTCACTACAGATTGAGCTAGACATGTTTTACTAGAATTCAAATCAGAAAGCATCTCCCCTCTCAGTGCAACCACAGTATTTCTCCTTTTGTTTTAATGTAAATTCTCTCAACACAACAGATGTTTGGTTTCCTTCAAATTCTAATAATATTTCTTTGCATTTTTCAGCTTATTATTTTGAAGGCATGACTAGAAAAAATTAAGTACTAGATGATCTTTAGTCTCCTGTAGGAACTTAATCCTGTTTCTTTTTGTCAGCTTAAAAATGATGACCTCCAACTTAGCTGTTTAGAGTGTTGTTGAAATAACAGGAATTATTTAAATCTAATAAAGACAGTTCACAAAACGGCTCGGTGGGATTAAGTGACAATCAATCCATGGTCCACAAAACTATGCCACTAGGTGTCACTACCTGGAATTCTTCAAAAAGGAACCAGTGTTGATTCTGTAAAACAGAACAATTCCAAGCCAAGCATGGGCTATGGAACATTAGAAGGACGAGACACGAACGGTCAAAGTTTAAAAGCTTTTTCTCCAGAATTGGTTATACCACGTTCCTTTTTACGTAAGCACTTAAAATATTAAAAAATTGTTTTAATCATTAGATTTCTCTATATGGCAGCTACCTGAATACTTCATTGATTATATTATTGAAATGTAGTCTGTTAGTTCTGAGACAAGAGCTTAATGAACCATATTCATGGGCTCTAGACTACAAGAGCACATTCCAATGACGGCTTAGGTCATTCATGATGATTAAGCTTTTCACTGAAGGATGGGTCAGTTTGGATCTTCAGAACCCAGCACTGCCTGGGGACAGCCTTACGGTCCAGTCATTTCAGGGGGTGGGAGGTTCTGGGGTTCACGTGTAGCACTTGTCTGCAAAATTCTGCAGACATGGCATCTTTTTCCTGGGCACAGAGCCTTCTCAGTCCACGCCAATTGAGATGCACTGATAGGGCAGATGCTGACACTGCAGACACGTTCTTGTTTATCACTCGTAAGAATCCAAAGGAACTTTAAGCATGTTTTTCCTAACACCTAGGAATCTCCTCTGAAGTTGTGACAATGTTGACCCAAGAATGCAGCAGTTATTCAAAGCACATGTTTTCAGTGGGGTCTGAAGGGCTTAACATTGGGCAATAAGCTGCCGCCTGGCTCAGTTCCAACGTCCAGTCTGTGTCTGAGTACCTGCCCCTCCTTGGAGAAGCTAGCGATGTTCTTCCATTTCCCCTGCAGTCTCAAGCTGGGTGGGCTCAGATACCTTGTTACACTTGTCAGAAAAATGTAACCTTGAAAACCAGTTTGGGTTTCTCTGAGCCTTTAAATGACAAAAAGTCCTTCATCTAAAAGGTCAGTAGATCTTAGCAATGACCTAACCACTGACTACACTGAAATAAACCAATCTCCATGCTCTGCTACAGCTTCCTTCAAATATCCCACTTGCTAGTTCCAGTAAAGAGTAGGACCTGTGTGGGAAATTCACATTTGCGAAAACCTTCCGCATCCTATGAAGCAATGATAGACAACATAGATAAAGAAGCCAATGAATAAAGAAGAGGAAGGAATGTTAACAGAATGAATTTCAAAGGCTTTCTGGTACCTGAGGAAAGTAACAGTTACTTGAAATTAAACTTACCTGAAAATGTCCTCAAATTACTTAAGATAAATTACACTAAAGAGAAGAGCCATTTCCTTATCCTCCTGAGTGCATTTGTTAGCTTTATTGAAGGACAACTGACAAACATAATTGTAATATATGTAAAGTATACAACGTGAGGATTTGATAAATGTGTACACTGTGAAAGGGTTCCACAATCAAGTTAATTAACACATTCTTCACCTCACATATTTAACTTCTTTTTTCTAAGAACACTTAAGTTCCCGCCTTTTTTTTGAGAGTGTGTGTGTGCGTGCATGCGCATACGTAGTGGGGGAGGGGCAGAAAGAGAGGGAGGGAGAGAGAATCTTAAGGAGGCTCCACTCCCAGTGCGGAACCCAACATGGGGCTTGATCTCATGACCCTGAGATAATGACCTGAGCCGAAATCAAGAGTCAGACGCCCAACAAACTGAGCCACCTAGGCGCCCCATGAGAACACTTAAGTCCTACTCTCTCTTTCATTATATAATACAGAATTATCAACTACAGCCACCATGTTATATATTAGACCCTCAGACCTTACTCATCATATAAGTGAAAGCCTGTACCCTTCTACCAACCTCTCCTCATTTCCCAGACCCCCGGCCTAGGGCAACCATTCTACTGTATCTAGGAGTCTGACTTTGATACCATGCAGTATTTATATTTCTCTGTCTGGCTTATTTCACTCAGCACATTTTTTAAACTATGTTTCCCAGCTCTCTTGCAGCTAGGTAGGCATGTAACTAGTATTTGCCATTGAAATGTGGGCAAAGTGATATAGCCTATTTCCTACTATGAGCCTGCAAAATTCTCCATTTTCTCTCATCTGCTGCTGGGAGCAAACGATGCAGTGGAAGAGGCCTGATCCCTGAAGGACTGTGTGGAAGAGACCCTCCCCCCCCACATCATCTACCTGCACTGGACTGTGATGTGAGCAAGAAATAAACTTTTATTCTCTTAAGCCCCTCAAATTTTAGGATTGCATGCTATAGCAGTTGGTCAGGCCTCATGAATACAGATACTACATAAAAAAGCCAAACTAATTCTTAAAATCTGATAATTTGATTTGACTGCATTTATGGAAGATGCAACTGTAGGTTACCTACGACTGCACTTAGTCGTAGGTAGGAAGTTGAAACGTAATGCAATGCTCTTAGCTTAGCATTTCCCAAACTGGTCCTCATCAACGGGACAGGATTGTGAATAAAAGTTCTGTGCCCAAATTAGTTTGAGAAATGCTATTAAAGTCAATCTGGTTTCTTTGCTATGGGATGTCTCAGAGCTGTTAATATGCTAATATCCACTGTGAATCTGTATAAAAGGATAAAGAATGTAGCATTTCCTTAACTTATTTAGTGAATATATTTAAGATCTACTCCCTTCCTCCTCCATGGCAACACCCATCACCATCTCCCAGAGCAATGTTCTGAAGAATACATTCTGGGGAACGTTGGGTTGGTGTAATCTGTGTCCTATGGTGGATTAATCAGAGTTAGAACCAAACAGTTCTAGGCACCCCAAAGCAAATACCATTCTCTTATAAAGGGAAGGTTTTTCTTGTAAAAAGACTAACATGTGCTGGCAGATTACTATCTACTAAGAAAGTTTTCACTGCTGAAATCAACCAAGTTACCTAAGAAAAGTATCTTACTTAAAATGTGACTGAAATAAAGGCAGATATGAACTCTCAGCTTCCGATTTTTTTTTGTATCTCCATCTGCTGTCAGTGGAGCCTGTCATATTTAATGATTACATATTCTTATGTTTTAAGAAGACAAAAGTCTATGAAAACCAGCATTGTTAACTATGAAATGTGTGTGTCCACTGCACAGTATCTTATTTACTTTTCTCTCTGTTATACTCATGCTTCAGGTTCAGTGTTTTTTTTTTTTTTTAAAGATTTTATTTATTTAGGGGCACCTGGGTGGCTCAGTCCTTAGGCGTCTGCCTTTGGCTCAGGTCATGATCCCAGGGTCCTGGGATCGAGCCCCGCATCGGGCTCCCTGCTCTGCGGGAAGCCTGCTTCTCCCTCTCCCACTCCCCCTGCTTGTGTTCCCTCTCTTGCTGTGTCTCTGTCAAATAAATAAAATCTTAAAAAAAAACGATTTTATTTATTTATTTGACAGAGAGAGAAAGAGAGAGAGACAGTACGAGTGTGGGGAGGGGCTGGGGCAGAGGGAGAAGCAGGCTCTCCGCTGAGCAGGGAGTCACGGGCTCCATCCCAGGACCTTGAGATCACGACCTGGGCCAAAGTCAGACACTTAACCATCTGAGCCACCCAGGCGCCCCCCCATCTCATTCTTTTCACCTGCTGCCTAATATTCCTTATTAGGAGTGCATATGCCATTGTTTATTTCCCTGTTGCCCTATGTTCACTCTTACGCCTATTCTATGATTAATGTTCATGTCCCTGCATCTCTGTATCTGTTTAGGAGCGTTTCTCTAGAGAAGAGGGATTCTTTTAACAGAAACACACACACACACAAATTTTTTTTACAGTGACTTGCTAGACTACATTGTTTTTGTACTATATATACTTTATTTCAATTATGAATCTATAATGGATGATTTCCCACATTTCTCACAGACTTAAGACTGAAAATGGACTGTTATGATGGACGCCTGGAAATTCATGTAAAGTAAAAAAGGTACCCTAACTATTCAATTCACTAAAAATAAAGAAGTCATAAAAAAGCCCCAGACTTACATCTAGTAGCGTGTGGAGATGCTGATCCTGGAAAACACTGTGTAGAAAATCTAAGTCCTTTTCACTGCAGTCTGTAAGTGCGTGAATTTCTTCCAGGCTGTCCAGCACCTGTGAGACTGCTCCTAAGGGGAACAAACAGAAAAGAAACAGCCAGTACAGAAAGTCAATGTCAAAATAACCTTTGTAGCCTCAATCTTGCATTTCAGAACAATGAACCAACAAACATAAAACTTCAAATGTTCATGTCTTTACTGGATAGACTTAAATGAACTTCATATCGCTCAAGGATAGAGTATTTTCAGTGAGTTTCTGTTTGTCACAATGTATTTGTGTGCTTCTCATTTTTCAGAGTGCACTGCAGCTGGTCTTACTTGAATTAAGGAAATCTGTCAACTATAACTGAGCTACTGGAAGATCTGGGTGCAGCAAGTTATACATCAGGAAGAGTGTGTCATTTCCATGACCCCATGATGTTTTAAAATATTACATAACTAACACAGGTGAGCCTTTCGTACAAGTGTATCCCGTCAAGAACTGAAGGTAAAGCCAGCTGTAGCTTTGAGGGAAAAACCTTTGAAGGATGGGTGCTCCTGCTGAGTAAAATAAGCTTCTTAGGATTTTTTTTTTTTCCTTAAAGTAAGCTCCATGCCCGGCACGGAGCCCAATGTGGGGCTTGAACTCAAGACCCTGAGTTTAAGACCTGAGCTGTGATCAAGTCGGACGCTTAACTGACTGAACCACCCAGGTGCCCCAGCTTCTTAGGATTTTTAAGGCTCAAACTTAAGTTAGCAAAGATCCCAATGCATTCTTTCTCCTTCCTTTACAAAGTCAAGTTGTTCTCAATCTGTTGGGCCCTTTTTATTCAAAAGACAAAGATAAAGGCTGAGTGTATTGACTGACACTTCCAAATACCACATTAAATATTAGGGCAACTCATTTTTGTAGGGCAAAGGAAATGGTAGTGTGATCACTTTCTTTAGATTTCTTCTTATAACCAGGAATCCAGAGAGGTATTAGTAGAGAAAGAATATACTGGGGAGCAACAAAGTCACTTACACGGCCTTAAAGAAATGATAAGCCTATTTGACTCTGCAGACAACGTGCACATACATACTCCAGAGAAAGAACCCTAAAAGGCTAGGCTTCAGAATATTAGTGTTTGACAAATTCTAATAGTAAGTGCCTCATTACATGTGTAAGTCTTGGATCAATAGTTTCCAACCAGTGGCGATTTTGCCCCCCAGAGGGGACATCTGGCAGTCTGGAGACCTTTCTGTTGTCCCAACTGGTGGTGGTGGGGGGACAGTTTGTGCTACTATCATCTAGTGCGTAAGGCCTGGGATGCTATTAAACATCCTACAATGCTCACGACAGCCTTTCACAAGAAAGAATTATGCAGCCCAAACTGTCAATGGTGCTGAGGTTCAGATATTCTGCTTTAGATAATGATAAAAATCTTGAATCTTTCTGTTCTCTATGGAACTCTATGCTGTTTCTGATTACTTTTGGTCTCGGACCTCATCCAATCACATGCACTTATTGGTGAGAATGTAAATTAGTATCACTTTCCCAGAATGCAATCTGGTAACATGTATCAAAGAGCCTTAAAAATGCTCCTGTACTTTGATTCAGTAATTCCATTTACAAAAACCTACCTTAAGGAAAAACTAGGAAACGCAAAAAAGACTTATGTATGAGGATATTTATCATATAAAATGGGGGAAAATAGCAAATACTTAGAAAGTGATTAAATATAGAACATCTATATAATGGAATATATAGCCAAATGGAAATTACTTTTGAAAAATTTTAAAGACAAAGAAAAATTCTCATGATATAAAATTCAAGAAAGCGGAATGCAAAACCACATAAACTGTATATTCCCGATTATGACTGAAAAAAATACATATACAAACTCAGAAAAAAAACAATGAAATACACTGAAAGAGTAACAGCAGTGATCTTTACTTTCCTATTTATACTCCATTCTATTCTTGTCCATATGTTCCAAGTTTTCTACAATAGAAAAAACGTTGCTATATAAGCAACTGCTTTTTGCAGTATGATTTCATTATGTTAACAATTCAGGGTGTAAGCTACAAATCAAGTGGTTGTCCATGTGGAAATTACTGTGGCTTTTTTTAACAAATTTGACTTTTTGAGATAACTGTAGATTCACATGAAGTTGTAAGAAATAATACAGAGAGATCTCATGTGCCCTTTACGCAGTTCCCCTCAAAGGTAACATCTTGCAAAACTCACGCAAAATCACAACTGGGAGACTGACACTGGCACAGGCAAGCTACAGAATATTTCCATCACCATAAGGATCCTTCATTTGGCCCTTCTATAACCATCCTCATTTATTCCTACCCTATTTCCCTCCTAACCCTTGGCAACTACTAATCTGTTCTCCATTTCTATAATTTTGTCATTTCGAGGATGCTATATAAATGAAACCATACAGTACGTAATCTTTTGTGATTGGCTTTTTTGACCCAGCATAACTCTCTGGAGATTCATCCAGGTTGTTGTGTGTATCAATGGCTTAATCCTTTTTATTGTTGGGTAGTATTCCATTGCACGGATGTACCAAAGTTTGACCACTTATCTATTGAAAGGACTGTGGATACTTTCAAGTTTTGAGTAATTATGCCTACCAGGCTCTGGGGTATTCTTTCACTGAAAACATTAAGTGGGTATTAAGTAGGACAAAAAAAGGTACAAGGCACAAATCAGTCCTCATTTCCCTTGCTGTTCCTGAAAAGGTATTAACCAAATCCACTTCCTTCTACCTGTTCTTGTGACTTTTACTTTGTTCTGAGTAGGGAAAAAAACTCTGGAAATTAGTTCAAAGCCAGCTCTCTCATCATCCCTTACTGAAAGCCTTGTAAAACAAGAGATGATGTAAAGAAATTAGTTCCAAATGTCCCATGGAATCCCTGACCCCAGCACATCATCAATAGCAGGGTTAAATGATACCAGGTTTATAGAGTCACTAAAGCCAGTTCTAAACTTCTGGACTTAAAACTGCAATGACAGAAATACCAACGAAATGTTTTTTTGTACATTAAAAAAATCCAACAGATACTACAGAAACATAATTATCATTTTCATTATCTTCATGGAATCTTACCTAGTTTTTATGGTCTCTACCAGCATTGCTTATGTGAATACAGAATCTAGGTGGCAGTTTAATACTATAAGATGAAAATAAAACAACCTTGTATCCTAGTGAATACCAAGATGGCAAGTCTAACCACTGGGATGCGATTCTGGCTGTACCACTTGCTCATCTGTGAATCCCCAGAGCTCCACGCAATTCCTGTCCCACCAGCAGCATGCATACTCCACAGGTGACCCTACATGTGTACTTGTTCACTCTTCTGTGCTATGAGGTCCTTATGTCATGTCTGTATTTGATTCATTTCAGAACACCCACAAAGTATGCACTGAATTAATGAAGTTCTAAAGAAACATAATAATAACAACAGGGGCTCCCAGTTCTCGAGTGTATATTATGTGCCAGGAACATCCTCAGGACAATGCAGTAAGGTAGATATGTTACCTGACCTTTCTAGATAGGGACCTGAGGTTCAAAGAAGGTCACAGCTAGAAATGGTAGAACCAAGACTCAGGCCCAGCGTGTCTGGCTCTGCAGTCTATGCTCTGCCTGACTTACTACGTGAATTGGCTGTACTAGGAAACATGGGAGAAAGAGTGACAAGAAGCTACATGTGGTTTATGCATGGATATGGAGGTTAGAAAAGAACCTGACCCCTGTCGGGTCAGACAATAACCAAAATCTTTATTGAACATTGCTGCTTTTTGCCAGGTGCTAGGCAGGGGCTTCTGAGAAAACAGGTATGATCCCTGGCCTTGAGGAAGGGGCTCTCAGACATCTTATACCCTGACGTAAATGATATACAAGAGGAAAAAACAAAGTGTCGCAGAAATAGGCTGCTGAGTGAGGAGCTGGGACAAACTTAGAGAGGAGGTGGATGAGCAGGAATTCAACACCTCCACCTGTGGTCTCATCTGCTCCGAAGGACGCAGTGAATGCTTTGCTGGAAAGCACAGAGGCATCTGTTATCCGGTGTTTCCAGGAGGAAAGACCCATCAGCTCAACGGCTCTATTGACCCTCCTTGGAGCTTGTCACGGTTTCTGAACTGATGTATAGTCTTATCTTGTACCCAAATGTGGTTAACTTTGTGGGTTTTCAATCATAAGAGGAAGTATTTCCATAGCTGTATGTGAGCCACCTATTTCAGTTTCTGAAAAGTGCCCCAAATTTTAAGTTTCTGAAATTAGGTAGGAAAATTACAGCTTTCTTCCATTTCTCCTTTATCTTTTACATTGAATAAACACATAGTTTTGGTCTAACCTCAAAATCTTTCTTTACCCTTGATCATTTAACACCTTCCATTGACACCCCCCCCCTTCTAGTTCAGTTCTTTCTTTTTTGGGGTATGACCAGTAGAACGACAGAAAAACATTCTTTGTCTAATATATACGTATCATTGATACCTGCAGTTCAGTACCAAGCCGATCTAAAAGTCCCATAATTTCTCCATTCAGTATAAAATATAAATGTACATAAAGACGCTTCTTTTCCATTGCTATTTGTTTTAAACACCGAGGTAGTAGTAATAATGAAGACAACACGACTTAACACCGCACAGCACACATAGAGGCTCTTAACTGCTATTAGTATTTGTTTTGTGGATTAATACTGTCATAGCCAAAAGAACTCTTCACTTTTCTCAAAAACTGAAAAGGATGTGTTTTTTTCCCCTATAAAGCCTTTGAATAAAGTTGTAACTGCCTTAAAAAAATCAATCAATAAATAGCACATGAGTTCACCTCAGAGGGCAATCTGTTTAAGGGCAGGACTGTAGGTATTTTATTCACTTTTGTATTCCAGGCTGCACTTTGTTAGGGGGCTTTGTACAAAAGGACACAATGAAATGTGTTTGAGTAAAATGATTTTTTTCTGAATAAATTCTGAAGAATTATAACGTAACAGTTTACCACAGAAAACAGCTTATTGCACAGCCCCATTTCCTTAAAGTCATAATAAAATTATTTTGATACTTTTATTTGTATGACAGTTTTTAACTTCCAAAATGCTTTTATACTCATTACCTTATGTGATTCCACAATAATCCCATCCTGTAGGCAAGTGTTTTTATACTTGGAAAACTGGAGGCTCCACAAGGTCAAATGACCTTGGGGCCGCAGCAGTGAGCAGAAGATCAAGTCCCCAAAGTCAAGTTTGTAACACTGAGTCCTTCTACTACAGATGGACTCCTCCGGAAACCATGTTTCACCCTCAGCAACACATCTGAATAATTTGCATTGGGTAATGAGAGGATATCCAATTTCTATCTTCTCTTTAATCTCAATTTTATTTCCCATATAAGGTTTATTTTTGTAGGCCTTGGTCCTACAAACTTTCACAATGATAAATTTATTAGAAAGTAACTAAGCCCTGCCTTCAGGATAGTGTTTTAATTTCTGCACAATTCATTTGGTAAGCAAGTTTGTATCTAAAAATTAGGTTGATAATCATACACTTTAACTGTGAACATCAATTCATGTTATTTTTCATTCATTTCAAAATGAGCAGCAGAGTGGTCAACATTACTACAGTGCACCCCTAAACACTTCGGCATCGATTTTAATACTTCTCTTTCTGTCTCAGGTAAAGTATACACAGACAGAAATATACAATTCTTAAGTGTACCATTCAATGAATTTTGATAAAGGTACATACTACATACATCTGATAACTGCATACACATATATGCAGTTATTTCAGTAACAAAAATTTGTACGTGTATATTTAAAAATTATATGTATAGCTATAAAACCCAATTTATCACTGAGCAAATTCAGCATCTGCATCTAGTCTAGCTTTTTCTGAAGAGTTAACCAATAGCCTCTTTCCTGTTGTATTAGCAATCCCATTTATACAACCCTGAATCCACAACACACACATTCCTATCACCCACCCAGTCAAAGCCCCACCCTGTAAGCACAACAGTGTTTTAAAAAATCTGCTTACTAAAGTATAATTTATTAAGTTAAAATTCACCAATTTAAGTGTACATTTTCATCTCTCCAAAAAAGTTCCCTCTTGTCCCTTTGCAATCAAATGCCTCCCTTCCCCCCCCCAGACAACAGCTTTTATTCCCACTGTACAAAGCAAATTCTGGTTAACAATCAAGTTATAAGCAATAGTGAATCCTGTAATGGACATTGTATCTTGGACTTAAGCATTGCACTGTATCCAATTCAAGCTATGAAAACTTACACATGGTGATAAATCCTTTAGATTCTTTTTGTATCATGCAGACACTGCAAAATTTAGTATTAGTTAAAAGAACTCTGCAAATGGATTCTATCAGAGTACAGACGCTATAATTCTAATGTCGTTATGCTTGTTAAAATGGTCTGTTTTCAAACAGCAGCATCATTGGGCACAAATTTGTCAAAGTACTCTAAATAACATTCTGCTGGTTAAGTGCCCATTCATATAAAACTTTACATCTAAGGGAAAGCACTACTTGATATCTCCAAGATGCTTTCATTTCCAAATGACATGATAGGTCTACTTAAAAAAAAAAAAAAAAAAAAAGAAGAATGCTAAATCTGGAGAAACAAAAGCAGGTACAAAGAAGTGTCTCACACTATAATTGTCATTAACTTGTATGTGGTGGACAGCCTCTAAGATGGCCCCCAAGGTCCCTGCCTCCTGGTATTCACACCCTTGTATAATCAAATCCCTTCCCTGAAGTGTGGGCTGGACTTAGTAACTCACTTGTAATGAAGAGAATAGGGCAGAAATGAGAGGATGTCACTTCCAAGATGAGGTGATAAAGACCATGCCCTTTGTCTTTGATCATTCATGCTGGGGAAAACAAACTTCTGTGTTGTGAGCAGCCCTATGGAGAGGCTCAATAGCCGGTAAGTAACTGAAGCCTATCAACAACCATGACAGGGAGTTTGGAAGACGATTCCTCCCCCCACTGCCCACAGTTGGGCCTTCAGATGAGACTGCAGCCCTGGACGACTGCTTGACTGTAGTCTCATGGGAGATCTCAAGCCAGAGGCACACAGCTAAGCCATGCCCAGATTCCTGACCCACAGAAACTGTGAGAGGATAAATCCTGCTTTGAAGGGATTCAATACACAGCAATATTAACATACTGTGAGATTTTTATATTAAATCAGCTGCAACTGGAGCTACAAGTAACAAATGCAAGAGAATGTGACAATGTATTCAATTATTAGCATCCAGATTTTCTAATTTATCATTGTCTCTTATATACTTCCCCCCAGTAAGCACAATGTAGAGGTAAAGATTTATTCTATTGTCTTAATTGAAATTATTGAAATAATTGTAGATTCATATGCAGTTGTAAGAAATAATACAGAGATCCCTTGTATGCTTTGCTCGGTTTCCTCATTGGTAACATTTTACAGAACTATAGTATAGTATCATACCCAGGATAATGACATTGATACAATCCACCCATCTTATTCAGATTGCCTTAGTTTTACTTGTACTCATTTGTGTGTCTAATTTTTTTTTTACATACTTTTTTACTTTAATCTCGTCACATAATCAAATCACGTCCTTTTGTAATTAAAATTTAGCCATTATATGATTCTTTACAAATGATCTTTCTGATGGTAAAAGTTGCTGAGACACATGAATTCAGGAGTTCATTCCACAGCTCCATATTAATTAACTAAAAATTTAGTTATAGAGAGTAATAAAAACCGCTTATAGATTATGTAATCAAAGGAAAATTCACTTACCCTGAAAGTTTTCTTGAAAGTGAACTATAAAATAAAATGTTACCCTTTCTCCCAAATTAATGTATTTGTGCTTGAAATTCAGATGTGAGATGATATTAAGTGCAGTTAAAATTTTAACACTGCCTATCTTCCTCTTATGAAAGTGAGAAGTTAGTATTATTTGTATGACAGTGCCTCAGGAAATCAATACAGCCACATTTTTATTTTATGGTCAGGCAGTGTTAAAATTCATAATCAAACATCTAAACACAAACAGCCAAGGAGAAAGTCAAGCTGCTTATGAACCATGCAAAGCCAAACACTTTTGCATAAAAGATAAAGCTTAGAGGAAAACATAAGGGATACCTACTTTCTGCTGCTAGAAGTCCTAGGAGGAAGGCAGCATATGGACAAACAACAAACAGTATGATTTTAGAGCAAGCAGGTTATCAAACTACAGTTGGGCCCAGTAGATGAGCCACAAGAAGCACAGTCCCCCAGCTGAGCCCAAAGTGAATCCTTGTGTTCCACGAGCACATTCCCTGGGACTGTTAAGGATTTCAGTCATTAAAACACTGGGTTGGGATTCTGACTTCTTTGATTTGAAATATGAGAAAGGAGTATTTCTATTTTGGATTGTTAAGTAACAAAGAAATGATACACTGTTGTTCATCATAAGATTAAACTCAACAAATTCTAGTGTATGTGTAATGGACTAATTTCGATAAAATAGAAAAAATAATCTCTTACATAAAAATTGTTTTACAATGTAAAAAGCATACCTAAACATGTTAGACTCTTTAGATGACAGATCAGGAAAGGTATTAATTTTAAATTCATTTTTAAACTGTGATCTTAGATAGAATTTTGGGGGACCAAAATAGGATTTTAATTTTGTCAAGCAAAGTCATTCAAGAAAACGACCTACTTATCATTATTTCATAGAAAGACTAGAACAGGCATTATCTAAAGATGAAAAACAGACTGTCCTTCTTAAGAAACAGCAGTTGGTGACCTTACACTGTTTTCTCTCTAACCCCTCCTCTTCCCTGCCCCCTCACCCCCACCCAACAAACCCAAGCTTGCTCATCATTTTTCTCTTTTTGCCACGGACTTGCTAGAACTTTCAGGTAATGCTGGAAGGTGCTTTGTGTTTTGTATTGTAAAACAAACCCATGCAGATTTAAACAGAAAGATAGCAGAACGGTTAATGTCAGAACTTAAAATAAATGATGAGGAATTTAAGGATGACATTGACAAGAATTTAGGCTTGAAAATGAAAACATTAAAAAAATGAAATGAAAAATGAAAATACTTTATGAAAGTGTAAAGCTCTTATGTGAGTCCAGACAAAATATATAATAGGCTTTCTGCAACCAAGCATACAACCATTACTGTTGGTTGCAGAAAAGGAAGTTTGCTGGTAGAGAGCAATTTCATAAATGATGCTGATAAAACAGTACAATGCCTCCCTTTAATGGCTTAGTATTAAAAATTAATCTTAGGAACATATGAATAATTCTTGATAGCTGTGAGAAAGTTACGAAAGTATTAGAGTTTTCTTCAAAATGTTCCTTTGTCTTTGACTTCTGAATACATAAAAAATTTCCTTTTCATTTAGGGGAGGTGATCAGACACATACACTGCATAATGATTCCTTTGTCTTTTATTCGTAGCATCCTGCTATTTAAAAATAGAGATAGTCATGTGCATGTCAAATGAAGATATAGACTGCTTACAAGATCATTAAGATCCAGAAATTTCGGAAAAAGAAGGTGTGACTGCAGGAAAGGGAAGCAAGAGGGAATGTGAAATTGTGAACAACTGATTCAAGAGCTTGCAGGCTACCCGCAAGACAATGTGGGAAATTTCTTTTTTGTTTAAAAAGCAAATGCTGCAATCAGAAACTATTTCAACCATATCATTTACAGATTGTACTGAAAAACAAAAAAACTGGGCGATAAAAATGTATTTAACAGAAAATAAGCATGTTTATAACTATAGACAATTCCTTTCCCTATAAGAAAAATCCAATTCTTTAACAGAAAGGGACACTTAAGAGCTCACTTAACTCTTGCTAGGCAGAAGTACATATTAAGGAGTTAACGCTAAAGATTAGGTCTGTGAAGCTATTGCAAGGACCACACGGCTCTCCAGTCCCGATTCTAAAGATGAAAATGGTATTAGATGTTGACCTACAATCTCTCAATCTATTCCAAATTTGTGACTGTATCAGGTAGTCACAGTATGACATAAAACCATTTCTGGATCCACTCCCCCCAGATGGGTCTACTGTAAACCGAGTGTGGAGAGAAGAGAGAGGTTTGAGCTAACACCAACTCAAAGGCTACAGGTGGAGGGAACAAAATGGACTGGGAGAGAAAAAGACAGACATGAAACAACAGGGAGCATGGGGGACACACCTAGAAACACAACTACAGCCTTGCCTTTCGTGTGGTAAGGGCTCTGGATAATCACAAAGTCAGCGTAAGAGGAAACCAGCAAGACCTTCTCTTCATAGAGTCTCTTTTCTAAGATTCCCATTTCTGATTGTTTTTGGAAATCACCTTTACTCAAAAGAGGAAGATTCACATCCCAATTGGTAAAGGTCAAAATGAGGAACTATACAGTTACTGGAATGGGAAACTTGATCCTGTTCTTTTCCACAAGGTGTAATAGGCACATACCAATTGGTAAGACACTGTGTATGTGAAGGTTTGTGCACATACGTGTATAAACAGAGAGAAGGCACTGACAAATGCTCACAGTTCCAACAGGAGAGAAGCATTAGCACATCCATTCTTCCTGGATTGCTAATAGTGAAAGATACACAACTCATGCTTTAGGAAGGGCCCTTTGGCCTTGAGTCCCAATGGTAATACATGAATACTGAATGGGCAGCCCCAAAAGTACAAAAATCAAATCAACAGCCCAAAGTCAACCACATGGCAAATACTGAGTGACTCTAATGTCAGAAGGAAGAAAAGCTGAGGGCAGAGGACATATGTTTCAGACGTAAATACGTACGTACATCAGTGAAATTTAAAGAGTATAACAGACATATGCATGCATTTACATAAACATATAAATGGATACTGTGGATTTTTAACAAATGATCCTTGAGAATACCTAATAAAATGGAAATCCGAGTGTTTTATAAAATAATTTTGTGAACATTGGTGGCTTTTTCCCCCCCAGGAGTACCTATATACATTTCAGCCAAATAGGTAACTCTTCTGTGTTCTTCTCCCCTGAATGCTTGTATACATGTGTTACTGACTTTATAAAAAGAGAAGAACTTGTAAATTGTTTCAAGAGATAAGTCACAAGACAGTTTACATTGAAAGATAAAATTACAAGCAGGGTTGTCCCAAAGTCTGATCTGCTATGGTTGACATGGGGAATTTTTTTTGTTGGGTATAAGGTACTCAGAAAGATCCAAAAAGACTGACCACAATGTTGGATTGGATGAAGTGCAATGTTGGGTCTGGAGTGGGGAAAGCGGAAGAAGAATTTCTGAGGTAAAAAGAAAAAAGTAAAATGTTGGTTTTGGAACAGCAGGGGAAAGTAACTTCAGTAGTAAAATTAAAAGCAACTAGACACACGTGGATGGGATTTGGTTGCTGACAAACTTCCTTAGAATTCCTTGGGGGATCTGACTAGATTCATAAGAAAGGTTTATTCACAATGGAAGAGAAAGGATGAGACACCAAATGATTCACGCTGGTGAATGAATAAATGGTCCAATTACCTGAGGAGGTAGGGTCTTCGGAAAAATCTGGCAACTCTTCAGGAGGATCCCCGTAGAATGAGTTGAATTTGTGACTTGACACAGCTGCTAGTACCGCACCCTAAAACAAAAAGATGAAAAAAATTAAAACAAATACATAAATACAAAAAAGTTCAGTAACAAACTTAAGGAGTATTCAGAAAGTCAAACCTATAGGAGATGACAGCTAAAAGAGGGGGAGCTTTTAAATGATTTTGGATTCCTTCAAATTAATCACATATGCATATACGAGGAGAACACTGTTGGGGACTGGGAAAGTACGTGAAACCATTTTCATCTCGAACTCAACATATGCCACAAAATGGAATATTCTGCAGTCAATATGAAATGATGCTGAAGGATGTTTACTGAAACAGAAAGATGCTTGTGAATTACATAAAAAAGGTTTTAAAACAATCTATAGTATCTCATTTTTGAAAAAAAGATTAATACAGATATAAAAGACTGAACATATATCAAAATGCTAATAGCATTCTCTCTGGGAAGTAGGAATGAGTCATTTTTCTCTTTTAAAATCTTTTTCCCGCTCTTTTTGTTAACAATGACTATCTGCTACTCTAGTACAGTAATTCTCAATCAGGCCGCACAGCAGAACCAACTACAGGTGGACTCTAAACAGCACACATAGTTTCCCCTGATTCCTACTTGAGAATTACTGTCATATTGAGTGCATGACACCCCTTCGGACTGCTAGACGGAAAAATGTGAGGAATTGTGTCAGTAACAAGAACAGCAATAAAAGTTATTTTGTGAGTCTGTTAGGCGTGGGCCAGAATATCTGGGTATGTTCCTTGGCTCTGCCATTTTCCAGCTGCCTGATACTACTTGAGTTGAGGTCTTTCTCAGCTATAATGCGAAAACATTAAAACTGACATAACTTACCTTACAGGATCTTCAAAAGTCATAATGTATATGAAAATGCTTTGCGAACTGTAAGCCATTTTGCAAGTGTAAACCATCACTAGGCTTACTAATATATAGCTAGAACATGAGCACAGCCTTTTGCTGGTCTAAGCAGAATTGCTCATTTAGGTAGTTTAAATATCAAATCACTTATGTAGTCTAAGTCTAAATTTTAAATATTGAACTCGCATATTTTTCTGAAAAGAAAGAAAAAAAAATTTTTTTAAGAGAGGGAGGGGGCAGAGAGAATCTTAAGCAGGCTCCATAGGCTCTAGCCTAACACGGAGCTCAATCTCACAACCCTGAGATCATGACCTGAGCCGAAATCAAGAGTCGGGAGACCTACCTAACTGAGCCACCCGGGTGGTATCCCCCACCTTTCTTTTTTTAGAAAGAGAGAGGGAGATGGGGGGGGAGGAGAAAGATAAATTTTTTATGTGTGTAGGGATTTATTAAATATATGAAAACATTAATAGAAACATGTTTCCACAAGGTTCATTTTTTTGGGGGGCATGTTAGGGTTTCTTTCTACAAATATATATTGAAATGAACTGAATTGAATGCAGAAAGGGAAAGGCAAAAAAACAGAGACGTGATCTTGGTGATACCATGCCAGGCAACTTTTTAGATTTTTTTTTTTAAAGATTTTATTTTTAAGTCATCTCTACACCCAACGTGGGACTTGAACTCACAACCCCGAGATCGAGAGTCACATGTTCTTCTACTGAGCCAGTCAGGTGCCCCAACTTTTTAGATTTCTGAAAGTCTAGGGTTAATGCATGAGAGGTCCTTACGTGGAATCTTATAGTCAGCTACCATGATGAAAAAAAGCACTAAATATTGAGTTCTTCTTTCTGTAGTAGAAGCTTATTTCATTTCACATACATACATGTTCCCTAAAAGCTGGGTGGGAATGGAATTTTATATATCAAAAGTTTCCCACCCACTGAAACTAAATTTTAGAGCTGCTTTATTTTTCTTTCCAAATGAAGTTCAACTGAGTTTCTTAATATGTTGAGTTTATGTTTCAGGGCCTGTTCTAGCTACTATTGTGATCAAGATCTAGAAATACGTATGCCAGGAAAGCACTATTTAAAAGAGCCTTAAGAGAGGTAAATTCTTTTAAAACAATAGTAGCAAGTTCCTAATTTATCTGTCTTATAGTTAGCAGTTTTCTTTATTTAGTTCTCTAAACTCAGTGACTGCATGTGGTTCAAATACTCAATGCAAAGCTATTATGTAAAACAGCAAGATGGTTCCAAAACAGTTTATCGATTTACAGAATTATAACCTTAGGGGATGATTCATTCTAAGAGTCTCCTTTTTTATGTGAGGAAACTGAGGTCTGGAGAGGTTTAAGCAACCTGTTAAGATTGCTGCCAATTTAAGAGATAAAATCAAACATAGACAGAATTGAGGTCCTCTGACTACTCTCCCAGTTCAAGGGTTTTTACTATACCAGGGGTCAAAAATCTTTTTCTGTAAAGGGCCAGGTAAATATTTGAGGCCTGCAGGGAATATGGTCTCTGTTGCAACTATTCACCTCTGCCACTGTGGCATGAAAGCAGCCACAGACAATATGTACATTGCTATGTTCCAATAAAACTTTATATATAAAAATAGGCTATGGGCCAGATTTGGTGCCCAGGCCATAGTGTGCCAACTCTTGTACTACACTATTGCTATGAAAGAGACTGTGGGTACAACACCATCAATCTAGATTTTATACAGGTAGTTCTTCAAACTCCCCAGTTTATTAAATCCTTGACAAAGAAGTTTTCTACCTACTTTAATTTAGAAGGTATACTTTAGTATGTTCTGAAATACAACGATCATGAGTTAAGAAGACTATTCACAATCTGCTAACAGATAACAGACATTAAAGATACAATTTTGTACTAAGCAAATTAGGCAGATTCTACATTCAAACAAAAAGAGAACTGGGGTCCCTGGGTGGTGCAGTTGGTTAAGTATCTGACTCTTGGTTTCGGCTCAGGTCGTGATCTCACAGTTGTGGGATTGAGCCCCATGTTGGGCTCCGTGCTTAGCACAGTGTCTGCTTAAGACTCTCCTTCTCCCTCTGCCGCTCCGCACTGCTCTCTCTCTCTCAAGTAAATCTTTTTAAAAAAAGAGAGAGAACTATAAGTAATAATTCTCAACTCAATCCTAACTATTGTTAATATGTCAAACATCAAAAGGGAATGCTCCCAGCTAGATGATTCTGTGTCTCATTTAAGGAAGTGGAAAACAAGAAAATGGTTAGCTCAGACTTCTGCTAAGTTAAACTACTGAATGCACTTAAGGAGGTAACAGAGTTACCAAGAAAGGAACAGGAGAGGGGTGCCTGGGTGGCTCAGCGGCTTAAGCGTCTGCTTTTGGCTTGGATCATGATCCCAGGGTCCTGGGACTGAGCCCCGTGTCGGGCTCCCTGCTCAGTGGGGAGACTGCTTCTCCCTCTCCCTCTGCTGCTCCCCCTGCTTGTGCTCTCTTTTATTTATTTGACAGAGAGAGAGCACAAGCAGGGGGAGCAGCAGGTGAGGGAGATACAGGCAGAGGGAGATGCAGGCTGAGGGAGAAGCAGACTCCCCACTGAGCAGGGAGTCTGATGTGGGGCTCGATCCCAGGACCCTGGGATCATGACCTGAGCTGAAGGCAGACGCTTAACCAACTGAGCCACCCAGGTGCCCCTCAAATAAATAAAATCTTAAAAAAAAAAAGAGAGAGAAAGGAACAGGAGAGTGAATACAGATGAACTGCTGACTTGAAGACAACAGCCAAAAGCCAATACTCCCTTTTTGGTGCCCCAAGCTCAGAAACAAGCACCATGAAGTCTGATAGGCACAAAAGCAGGGAGGTACACTTTAAAAAGCCCAAATACCAAACAAAAGTTTTGAGATGACATGTAGAATAATCGCCTTTGCACCCAAGTGGCAAAATAACAGAGTCATACTGTAATATACCGAGGGGGCAAAACCCATCACAGGGTTATACAAATACTCGCGTCACATAAGGATTTGAGAAAGGATCATCTTATTAGGGTTCAGAACACTGAACTCAAAGCCCTAAAAAGGGTGAAGAAGAACTTGGAGAGGCTGAGGCTGAACAGAGATGACCAGAAGGCTGGAAAACCATTTCAAGGTAGAAAAGTTAAAGGATGTGGGTTGATTACATGTAAGAACTGGGTCCTCGATGATGATGGTGTTGTTGGGTGAGACGACTGATGATGTCTGAGCTCCCAGTATCTCCCCTACAGTCACAGGCAACGCTGTCATTCGGTCTAGTCAGCACAGCGTAGGTGCACAGGGTACTCAAACGGAACTCAAATGCAGGTCTAAAACCGGGAATTTTATAACATTAAGTAGGGATATCTGATTAAAGGAGGCTGTGCTATCTTCTCTGCAGAAGCTGAACGATGAGACTTCTAAGTGTAGTCGGTATGACTATCTTTAAGAGCAACTGCACAGAAGAGGTATCTTAGGAATCCTTTTGGGTCGGTGTAAAAGTATTTTATAGAGGCGGTCTTTTTTTTTTTTTTTAAAGATTTTATTTATTTATTTGAGAGAGAGAATGAGAGATAGAGAGCACGAGAGGGAAGAGGGTCAGAGGGAGAAGC